AGCTGTAGCTCACGAAAGCTTATGCTCAAATAATGTTTTTAATCTCTAAGGTGCCACAAGTACTCCTTTTTCTTTTTATTAATTCTTATGGGGAAATTGGATTTGCTTAACATAGTTTCACTTAACATTGTAGTTATGGTCCTGAAAAATGCAACTCTAAGTGAGGAGTTACTGTAATGTAAAAGTATTCTTCTTGTGGGTGATGCTGTAGAGCTGAGTTCTTATGGGGGATTTGAATAAAGTCACGTTGGTGTTTTGGTACATAGATATTTTTGGAAGGGTGTTCCTGTCAGAAAGGGCAGCAGGGAAGAAGGCATAGAGCCAATTATAAGAAAAGGAAACTGGACACAGAAGCTGATGGTGTTGGCAGAGCAGAGAGACGAGGGTAGGAATGTGAGCAGGAGAAGAAGTTTGAACTAATTGCACTGTGCAGTGGGGAGGCAGTGAAGTGACTCAAAGGGGATGACATTGTCAAAGTAACAGGTGAGAGAGATTATTTTGGTATCAGCGGGTTGGATGGACTTGAGGGGAGTTTTTAGTGTCAAAAAGACCTGAGTAGAGCAGACTCCAATGGGTGAGATGGAAAAATGATAAAGACAAAAAGAAGCTGTCAGGACAGAAAAGAAGGGATGAATTTGAAGCATGGTGACAGATGTGTTGGGTCTTGCTCATGGCCTTGATAAGGGAGGAGGAGAAGGGGGATGGGAAATCAAACATGACCCACCCCCCCACCGGTTGCAGGCCAGGGTGAAATGGAAGAAGAGGTATGATCACCTGTAATGGAAAATGAAGGTAATCCAAAGATTTATGGGGAGGAAAGATTAGGAGTGTACATCTAGATCGTGACAGCAAGTCGGCTGAGATAGGTGCAGAATTACATTTGAGTCACCTGTGTAGTTCATCAGTTAAACTCATGTGTGGCAAGATTTCTTACCTCTTCCATGTCAGATGCAGTCACTGCTTTGGTTTTCTTGGTGCTGAAATAATTTAGCTCTTTGGCTAGACTGAAAGCTCTACTCCTTTTGAGAGTATACTGAAAGTCTAAAGTCACAACCAGATCTACCCCAGTTTTTGCTGGGTCATGGACTTCTCCCTGGAAGTGGTGAAGGGGAACTTCCGCCTTCTGAATTTCCAGTTTAAGTCCCTGTAAAGTAGCCAGGCGGACCCACTCTAGGCCACAAGCCCACACTTTCCTAAAGGTTGCTTCCTTCACCTTGTGTCCAGTCTGTCTCCTACTTCGAGCTCCTCACATCAAGTTCCAACAGACATAAAAAGTTCCTTTAACCACTTGTTCGAGAAACCTTTCCCTGAGCTTCCTCTGAGCCACTAAATGCTTTTCTGGGTGCTGCCCACAGGAACTTGTGCTTCTTCTGCACATTTCACTTTTTGTCTAGTAAAAGAATCACAGCAAGTCCTTCTCCCTATCTATCTATAAGGAAAAGAAGGATGCTTTTATACCATCCAGGGGGAAGGATAGCTCAGTGGTTTGAGCTTTGGCCTGCTAAACCCAGGGTTGTGAGTTCAATCCTTGAGGGGGCCATTTAGGGATCTGGGGCAAAAATTGGGGATTGGTTCTGACTTTGAGCAGGGGGTTGGACTAGATGACCTCCTGAGGTCCCTTCCAACCCTGATATTCTATGATTCATTTCTCTTCCTAGATTGGCCTGCTATCAAACCTTCGGTTCCCAAGTACCCTGGAAACAACTGTTCCTCACAATGTCTGTGCTCTGGGTAAAACTTGGAATAGGGCAGAGCTGGAAATTGATCCCCTCTTAAAGGGCCAGCTTTGCTTTGCCATACCATGTGAGTGGATTATGTTATCCAAGAATCCATATCAAGGGATCTAATTTGGATATGGATAGAGCCCTTTTTAATGTTTTTAATAAAGTAAATACTAATGGAAACTGTGTGATCATGGGAGACTTTAACTTCCCAGATATAGACTGGAGGACGAGTGCTAGTAATAATAATAGGGCTCAGATTTTCCTAGATGCGATAGCTGATGGATTCCTTCAGCAAGTAGTTGCTGAACCGACTAGAGGGGATGCCATTTTAGATTTGGTCTTGGTGAGTAATGAGGACCTCATAGAGGAAATGGTTGTAGGGGATAATCTTGGCTCAAGTGATCATGAGCTAATTCAGTTCAAACTGAATGGAAGGATTAACAAAAATAAATCTGCAACTAGGGTTTTTGATTTCAAAAGGGCTGACTTTCAAAAATTAAGGAAATTAGTTAGGGAAGTGGATTGGACTGAAGAATTTATGGGTTTAAAGGTAGAGGAGGCCTGGGATTATTTTAAATTAAAGCTGCAGAAGCTATCGGAAGCCTGCATCCCAAGAAAGGGGAAAAAATTCATAGGCAGGAGTTGTAGACCAAGCTGGATGAGCAAGCATCTTAGAGAGGTAATTAAGAAAAAGCAGAAAGCATATAGGGAGTGGAAGAAGGGAGGGATCAGTAAGGAAAGCTACCTTATTGAGGTCAGAATATGTAGGGATAAAGTGAGACAGGCTAAAAGTCAAGTAGAGTTGGACCTTGCAAAGGGAATTAAAACCAATAGTAAAAGGTTCTATAGTCATATAAATAGGAAGAAAACAAAGAAAGAAGAAGTGGGACCGCTAAAAACTGAGGATGGAGTGGAGGTCAAGGATAATCTAGGCATGGCCCAATATCTAAACAAATACTTTGCCTCAGTCTTTAATAAGACTAAAGAGGATCTTAGGGATAATGGTAGCATGATAAATGGGAATGAGGATATGGAGGTAGACATCACCATATCTGAGGTAGAAGCGAAACTCAAACAGCTTAATGGGACTAAATCGGGGGGCCCAGATAATCTTCATCCAAGAATATTAAAAGAATTGGCACAAGAAATTGCAAGCCCATTAGCAAGAATTTTTAATGAATCTGTAAACTCAGGGGTTGTACCGTATGATTGGAGAATTGCTAACATAGTTCCTATTTTTAAGAAAGGGAAAAAAAGTGATCCAAGTAATTATAGGCCTGTTAGTTTGACATCTGTAGTATGCAAGGTCTTGGAAAAAATTTTGAAGGAGAAGGTAGTTAAGGACATTGAAGTCAATGGTAAATGGGACAAAATACAACATGGTTTTACAAAAGGTAGATCGTGCCAAACCAACCTGATCTCCTTCTTTGAAAGAGTAACAGATTTTTTAGATAAAGGAAACGCAGTGGATCTAATTTACTTAGATTTTAGTAAGGCGTTTGATACTGTGCCACATGGGGAATTATTAGTTAAATTGGATAAGATGGGCATCAATAGGAAAATTGAAAGGTGGATAGGGAATTGGTTAAAGGGGAGACTACAACGGGTCCTACTGAAAGGTGAACTGTCAAGTTGGAGGGAGGTTACCAGTGGAGTTCCTCAAGGATCAGTTTTGGGACCAATCTTATTTAATCTTTTTATTACTGACTTGGGCACAAAAAGTGGGAATGTGCTAATAAAGTTTGCAGATGATACAAAGCTGGGAGGTATTGCTAATTTAGAGAAGGACAGGGATACCCTACAGGAGGATCTGGATGACCTTGTAAACTGGAGTAATAGGAATAGGATGAAATTTAATAGTGAGAAGTGTAAGGTCATGCATTTAGGGATTAATAACAAGAATTTTAGTTATAAGCTAGGGACGCATCAACTAGAAGTAACGGAGGAGGAAAAGGACCTTGGAGTATTGGTTGATCATAGGATGACTATGAGCTGCCAATGTGATATGGCTGTGAAAAAAGCTAATGTCATCTTGGGATGCATCAGGAGAGGTATTTCCAGTAGGGATAAGGAGGTTTTAGTACCATTATATAAGGCACTGGTGAGACCTCACCTGGAATACTGTGTGCAGTTCTGGTCTCCCATGTTTAAGAAGGATGAATTCAAACTGGAACAGGTACAGAGAAGGGCTACTGGGATGATCCGAGGAATGGAAAACTTGTCTTATGAAAGGAGACTCAGGGAGCTTGGCTTGTTTAGCCTAACTAAAAGAAGGTTGAGGGGAGATATGATTGCTCTCTATAAATATATCAGAGGGATAAATACCAGAGAGGGAGAGGAATTATTTAAACTCAGTACCAATGTGGACACAAGAACAAATGGATATAAACTGGCCACTAGGAAATTTAGATTAGAAATTAGACGAAGGTTTCTAACCATCAGAGGAGTGAAGTTTTGGAATAGCCTTCCGAGGGAAGTAGTGGGGGCAAAAGATCTATCTTGCTTTAAGATTAAACTCGATAAGTTTATGGAGGAGATGGTATGATGGGATAACATGGTTTTGGTAATTAAATATTCATGGTAAATAGGCCCAATGGCCTGTGATGGGTTTTTAGATGGGGTAAGATCCAAGTTACCCGGGAAAGAATTTTCTGTAGTATCTGGCTGATGAATCTTGCCCATATGCTCAGGGTTTAGCTGATCGCCATATTTGGGGTCGGGAAGGAATTTTCCTCCAGGGCAGATTGGAAGGCCCTGGAGGTTTTTCGCCTTCCTCTGTAGCATGGGGCACGGGTCACTTGCTGGAGGATTCTCTGCTCCTTGAGGTCTTCAAACTACAATTTGAGGACTTCAATAGCACAGATATAGGTGTGAGGTCTTTTTTTAGGAGTGGTGGGTGAAATTCTGTGGCCTGCATTGTGCAGGAGGTCAGACTAGATGATCATAATGGTCCCTTCTGGCCTAAATATCTATGAATCATAAGGGAAGGAGCCAAGGAATGAGAAGGAAAACGGGGGGGGGGAGGGGAGGAAGACAAGACGTAGAGCCAGGTAAGGCTGTGTAAAAGGAAAAGGATGATCCTGGACTCCCTAGAAGATACTGACCAAAACCCAAAAGGGTTGTAAAAGTGGTGAGGAAACAGGCAGGGTTTTGCATGCAGGTCTCTTACTTTCTATATATCTCTTGTGCTTTGTCTTTGAGTAAAGTATGGTTCATTTAAACATTCTGTTGCAAAGTCTGAGTGCCCCTTGCATTCACTGTCATGTATCCCTGAAGGTGGAAGCTGGAATTTGGAAGGTCCACAGCTTCAGTGGAACTCTGAGAGCCCATAAGGGCTACTGGAGAGGCTTAGGAGAACTGGTACTGGTTTCAGGATGTACACAATTGGACTGAGGAGTCCTGTCTGTCAGAAGTTGCTAGATGGAGGATCTGTACCCTGACCGTGCATCTCAAGACCCTGAGCCAGAGTTGTGAATGCAAGTACAGCAACCTGGTAAGCATCCAACTACTAGCCCTGCAAATTCAACAAAGGATCTGAAAGTCAAGCTGGGCTATTTCCTTCATCTGCACCATAATCTCCTACACTTTAAGGTGCTGTAGGTGAAGTTCCATCCTCAGAAACCCCTGTGCAATTTCACTTAAGCCTAAGAGGGTTCATTTTGGCTTTGATGCCTGTTGAGTTTGCAAAGTTGGCAGTTCACAAAAGCATATTTTTCTTATAAGCTGAGGAAATTTTGATATGAAAGAGTTTGAGGGCCAATACATTTGCAATACCATTAAAGTCTATTCTTTCCAGTACTTCAAATAGAACAGAATAAACCATTTATGGTAATGTACAAATAATCCATATATAAGTCATGAGGGACAAGGAGGGTGAGGTAATATCTTATCTTGGATTAACCTCTGTTGGTGGAAGGGACAAGCTGTGACATTTTGGGGATAACCCTACCTGGTAAAGGGTTCTGTCTCCATGTGCCCTGTAACGTTGGGATGCTTTGGGGCCTGACACCAGGAGCCATCCCAGAAGCACAAAGTGTCACCCTGGCTCTCACTAGCCTTGTTACTCCTTGCAGGGTGATACCAACAGCCCTTCTCTTCCCAAGTCTCTCCAAAATCCATGCTCCCCAAGTTCTTAGCTACCAGACATTCATACCATTCCCCTCTGGTTCATCACCCCGTTGTGTGAAAACCGTCTGTCAGTTATCAGTTTGGCGCACGCGCACACACTACATACAGTTTGCACACCAGTGATCTGCTTGGGTAAAAATAAACAAAAGGTTTATTTAATAGAAAAACCACAGATTCAAAGATGAAATAGTAAAGGAAAGCAAATGTATAAAAGTTACACAGAAAATAAACAAAGATGTGACTTCAGGCTTTACATTTCCATATTAGCTAAAATCCCTTTTCTCATACAAGCTTCTTATTGCCCTTGAACAATTTCCTGGTATGCCCTCTAGCATTAGTCCCTTCTACCAACAGAAGTTGGTCCAATAAAATATATTGCTTCACCCACTTTGTGTCTCTAATATCCTGGGACCAACATGGCTGCAACAACCCTGCAAATAATGTCATTAAGACCCGGATCCAGCAAAGCACACAAACATCTGTTTACTTTTAAGCACATGGGTAGTCCCACTGAAGTGAATGTGTTTAGAAGTATGGAAACTAAAGACAATAATAAATGAGATTAGTACCTCCCGCAACATCATAGCTTTCACTGTTAGACTCTGATCCAGCAAAACGCTTAACTTTAAGCATGGGAGAGTCCCACTGATTTTAGAGTTTGATTTTAGTACGGTCAGTGTCCATACTCCAACATACGTCTTAAAATCCACACAGAACTGTCAACCTTGTTTCTTATCACATGTTCGTTTAAAAAAATGGACTATTTGCCCTTTGGTGATCAAAGTCTGGAATTATTTCTGAACAGTACATTATATGCACAAATGAATTATGGAAAGTAGTTTACAAACTGATATTTGAAATATTTGCATAACTTTCCACCTGCCAGAGCTCCGACCACATATAAATAATAAGTGTGGCAGCATTCAAGGGGTGATCTGCACTAAACAATTTCTAGCTGATTATGCAGGTTCATTATTGGTATTGATGACTAAGTCAGTCTTACTTTGTACTGTTTCCTCATGTGGACTTGAAGAGGTGCAGGGGGGAAGAATGCAGCAGACTGCAGCCAGACATCCCTAATCCCACCTTTACAGAGGGGATCTTAGGGAAAAGGGAGTAACTAGTTGGGCACAAAGTTAGCTAATGATGTCAGTACTTCCTGGGCAACTCCTTGGTCAGGATCTGCAGGTTTGGGTTCCTTCATGCAGACAGAAGGGAGCATTTGTCCCTAAAATTTTATACCTTTAGTCCGACCTACATGTTAAAACATCAAAGAGCTAATATGATTCTTTCAAGTGGGTTGGGGTTTCTTCCTAATTAAGGACTCTAATTATATTGAAGGTAAAATTGTTTTTTTTTAAAAAAAAAACACCGACAATAAGCTTGGGTATATAGCAAAAGGAATCTTGAAATTAAAGGGTTAAGGTATATATTAAAACAAAAAACTGCTTTTACTTTTGCCACTCATTTTCTGCGTTATCCACAAGATGGCAGTGTAAGACTGCCATCTTGTGTTTAAATGTGTAGTATTTGGTTATGGAAGGAACAAAAATTAAGTTGTATACTTAGCCTTTGCAGGTGAGATATAAAATTTCAATATGTCAATCTAGATGAAAAATGTTTGAAAAATTAGTGTAAAGATAGAGGAACGAAAAGTTCATATACATAATCAATAGGGCCTGAAAACAAACACACATACTACATAATCTTGTGTATATATGCATACCTAAATTTAATTAAGTTAAACATTCTGTTTTGTTAGGAATTCTACAGTCTAAGAAACAGCAATATCTTTTCCCGAAAAGTTCATACTGTGAAGATAAAAGTGACAACATCAAATTTTCTGTTTTACAACAAATCTACAGTAAAGATCACATAACATAGTAATATATAATTGGCCAGAAGCGGGAGGATGGTTTTGTGATTAAGATACTGTTTTATTAACCAGGACACCTGGGGTGAAATCCTGGTTCCATTGATATCAGTGGGTGTTTTGCATTGACTTCAACAGAGTAGGAATTCACCCTTGGATTCTATACCGAGTTCTGCCACAGACTTCATGTGACCTTTCAAAAATCACTTAATCTGTCAGTGGCTCTCAACCTTTCCAGACTACGATATTTTCAGGAGTCTGATTTGTCTTGCGTACCACCCCAAGTTTAATCTTACTTAAAAACTACTTGCTTACAAAATCAGACATAAAAATACAAGTGTCACAGTACACTATTACAGAAAAATTGCTTACTTTCTCATTTTTACCACATAATTATAAAATAAATCAATTGAAATATAAATATTGTACTTACATTTCAGTGTATAATATATAGAGCAGCATAAAACAAGTCATCGTCTATATGACATTTTAGTTTGTACTGACTTTGCTACTGCTTATGTAGCATGTTGTAAAACTAGGCAAATATCTAGATGAGTTGATTTACCCCCTGGAAGATCTCTGCGTACCCCCCAGGGGTACATGTACCCCTGGTTGAGAACCGCTGTTCTGTGTCACCCACCAATGGGTAGGCAGCACAACCTGGCCGTCAGAGCAGGAAGCTGACTTAGTGGTCAGAGCAGAATCAGAGGTCAAAACCAGAGGCATGGTCAGGAGACAAGCCAATAGTTGATCAGGAGTCAGAACAGGACCAAAAGGTAGGGTCAGAAGACAAGTCAGAATCAGGAGTTCTGAGGGTGGCAGGGACTAGGGCTAGAGCAGAGCAGGCAAGGGTGGGGGGAGCAAGGGCTGGACAGGAAGCAATCAAGTGCAGCTGCAGGCCTGGAACCCATTGAGGACCGCCGCTTAAATGGTGGTCAGTTGGCTCTTCTGGCCAGTCAAGAGCACAGTCATTTAGTGCGGGTTTATTGGGCCTAGCTGAACTAGGGTTGCCAACTTTCTAATCGCACAAAACCAAACACCCTTGATCCTTCCCCAAGGCCCCACCCCTTCCCTGAAGGCTTGCTCCCTTTCACTCCATCTCACCTCCCTCCATCGCTCACTCTCCCCCACCCTCACTCACTTTCATCTAGCTGGGGCAGGGTTCAGGTGCAGCAGGGGGTGAGGGCTCCACGGGCTTGGAGGTGGGGCCAGGGATGAGGGGTTTGGGGTACAGGAGGGGGCTCCAGACTGGAGGGTTTGGGGTGCAAGAGGGGCTCAGGGCTGGGGCAGAGAGGTTTGACTGTGTGGGGCTGGGGATAAGGGGTTTGGGGTACAGGAGGGGTCTTAAAGCTGGGGCAGAAGGTTGGGGTGTGGAAGGGGGTTTGGGGTGTGGCTCTCTCCGGGCGGTGCCTACCTCAGGTGGCTTCTGGAAGCGGCTGGCATGTCGCCTTCCTAGGCAGAGTGGCCAGAGGGCTCTGCACGCTGCCTGCCCCCGCAGCTCCCATTGGCTGTGGTTCCTGGTCAGCTGGTGCTACAGAGCCGGTGCTGGGGTGGGGGCAGTGCACGGAGCTCCCATAGCCGCCCCTGCGCCTAGGAGCCGGACATGCTGGCTACTTCCAGGAGCCGTGTGGAGCAAGGGAAGGTAGGGGGCCTGCCTTAGCCCTGCTGCACTGCTGACTGGATTTTTAGCGGCCCGGTCAGCAGTGCTGACCAGAGCTGCCAGGGTCCCTTATCAACCAGGCGTTCCAGTCGAAAACTGGATGCCTGGCAACCTTAAGATGAACTCATTGGGTTGCTAGGTGACTGAGCCTAGAGGCAGCTGAGTTCCTGACACTTTATGCCTAAGTTTTCTGAATCTGCTTAAAAAAACAAAGGGGGATGGGAGGGGGGGAAGGGAAGCATGGACCAGTTTGTGAGTAATAGTGCCGTTAAGGTCTGGTCAACACTTAAAATTTAGGTCAACATAGCTACAGCACTCACACATTCCTGAGTGCTGTAGTTGTGCTGAGATAATTCCCAGTGTAAATGTAGCTAGATCAATGAAAAGAATGCTTCAGTCAACATAGCTAGCATTGCTCAGGGAGGTAAAATTCCTGAAGGAAAAACCCCTTCTGTCGATGTAGGCTGTGTTTACACTATGCGGTTATCCCAGCATAGCTACCGTGCCGTAGCTAGGCTGCTATACTTCTAGTAGTGTAGACATGGTCTTAGTCTGCTTTTGATTGCACCTATAGCTAAGCCGGTTCCTCTAAGCATCTAGCATGCTGTAAAATGCCATTAATGGCAAGTGCTAAATTTCACCACTGTAAACACCAGACTCTCCAATGACTGAAGGTCTAGCGGCCTGCACATCCCAGTTTATTTAGTGGCTTGTCCCTTGGACTATATTATTTATTTATGCTGGCAGTTATACAAAGATTGCAATGCAAGCATGTGGCCTCTATTTTTCCTGCAGCTCAAGACAGTTAAAAAGTGATGCCCCCAAAGATTGT